TAAAGGGCGCTGTTTCATTGGAAATGCGGAGGGGGCACAGAATGAGGGGGGCAGGGGGTTGGGGGAGGGCAGCACCTCCTGGGAGGGAGGGGGAAGCCCCCCCCCATGAGCGCCGCTCACTTCTCCTTGTGCTGAATGAGGCCCTTGGCCACCAGGTCGGGGATCTCCACCGCCAGCCATGGACCCAACTGTGGGGGGACACAGTGAGCAGCCCCCCAGGTCACCACCCCCCCCAATCCGGAGGGGATGGGACATGGGGACCCATCCCACTCCCCCCGCCCCCCACACACTCACCCCCAGTGCCATGAGGTGAGCCAAACCAAACTTGGGAACGTTGCGGGCCCACAGGGGCTTGAAGTGGTCGCTGAGGCAGATTTTGCCCCCTCTGCAGGGAGGGGGTCAACTGTGAGAGTCCCCCAGAATGAAACGCCTCCTCCCAAAGGAGCTCCCTCCCAAAAAATGAGCACCCTCCCCTTGAATGAAGCATCCCCTCCTCAGAGTTCCACCCAAAAATAAGCCTCCTCCTCCACCCCACCAAAAAAAAAGAGCAAATCCCCCCAGAAAGGGAATCCTCCCTCCTGAATGAGAATCCCTCCCAAACGTGCTGCCCCCCCCCCCGCTTCAAAATCCCTCTTCCACATAACCCCCAAAAAGGAGCAAATTGCACCCAAAACACGAAGCCCCCTCCCCAAAACCGAGCACAAACCCCCTTGTAGGATCTGCCTCCCCCCCCCCCCCCTCCTCACCCACCTGTACATTTTGGCCGTTTTCCCATCCAGCTCTGGGATGGCGATCTCAGGAGCAGTGTTGGGGTACGTCACCGGGATCTGGGGGGGTTGAGGGGGGGTCGCACAAACAGAGAAAGCTTGGAGACACTGGGAAAAAGGGGGGGAGGGGAAGGGGAGCAGTTTCTCCCTCCCCTCCTCCTCCTCAGCCACACTCACCTCAAACTCAATGGCAAATTCATACTTGAGCAGCTCATGGATGTGCCAACAGCGCCCAGACCACCTGGGGGGGAAGGGAGGAGGAAATCAGGTCTGGGGGGGGGGGGGGCCCCCCGGGGGCTCCATGCACTGCAGTGCAGCCCCACGCCCCGCCCCCACGGCCTGAAGCCCCGCCCCCCCGGACTGACCCCCACCCCCGATTGGTTTAGCCTTCCCGTACCCCCGCCCAATCAACGCAAAGCCACGCCCCTGACCTAAAGCCCCGCCCACCTACGCACCGCGTGCCTTCCGCGTTGGACTCGAGGCGGAACCAGTCATTGTCAGAGGCCTTGTTGTGCTCCACGTACTGCAGGGGGTGACGGGGGGGGAAAGGTTAAAAGGGGGAAAAGCGGGGGAAAAGCGAAGGGAAAAGATAAAGGAGAAACGGAGGCAAAAGATGGGAAGATTGGAAAAAGAAGGAGTAAAAAACAGGAAAAATGGGTAGGGGGGAAACAGAAATTAATGGGGAAAAAAAAAGGCGGAAAAAGGAAAGGAAAAAAGTATGGGAAAAAAAAAGGGAATAAGGGGAGAAAAAGGGGAAATGGGGGAGGAAAAAAGGAGAAAGCTGGAAAAGGGGAGGGAAGGAAGGGAACTTCCGGGAAACGAAGGGACGCCGCCGCACCTGTATGAGCGCCCGGTATTCCTCCTTGAGGCGCTCGGCCCAACGCTCCCGGTCCCGCGGCCCCGCCGCTGTCCGCAGCAGCGGCACCGCCGCCACCGCCCGCCGCGCCGCCTCCTCCGCCATCGCGGGGCCCGGAAGCGGCGCTGGCCCGTGAGGGCGGGGATGACTGCGCCGCCATCTTGGCCGCGGGCGGAAATGACGCAAAGGGGGCGGGGAGAAGAAAGAGCGCCGCCATCTTGGAGAAGGGCGAGGACGGAAGCGCCGCCATTTTGGTGAAGGGCTGGAGGGCGCCGCCGCCATCTTTACTGCGGGTACTGGGCGACGTTGCCTGAGGAGCCGCCATCTTTAGTGCTGGCAGCGCTCAATGTCGGCGGCCTTCAGCTGCACTTTGGTTTTTTTCCCCATTTTTTCTTTTTTCCCTCTTTTTTTCTTTTTTTATCTCTCCCCTTTTTTCCTCTTCTTTCTCCCCTCTTTATTTCTCTTTCTCCCCATTTTTCTCTTTCACCCCCCAATTTTTCCTATTCATTTCCCTTCTCCCCCCTTTTTTACTTCTTATTTCCCCCTTTAATTTCCTTTACTTTCCATTTTCTCTCTTCTTTCATTTTTCCTTTCTTTCTTTACCTTTTTTCCCCACTTTTCTCCTCTCCTCTTTTCCTCTTTTTTCCCATTTTCATTTCCCTCAGAGTTCCCCTTTTTCTCCTCTTTTCTGCTTCTCTTTCCCGGGGGGGGGGGGGGGGGGGGGGGGGGGGGGGGGGGGG